TGATTGAATTGACTGTATGGTTTGTAAACTTACTTCTTCCTTTGATCTAAAATAAACTACCACAAGTGGCATCCGAATAGCATTTTAGTTAAATTGGACCATGACACGCATTGCAGCCATTCGCATCCGGGTCCCATTAGCCTCATGCTATTCAGATGTAATGTGTGGTAGTTTATTTTAGTTCAACTGAATAACTTTGTTCAGATGCTATGCTTAAAAATATCCACAACTTTTTTTTTTTTAGTTTTAAACTCCATTTCTACTTAATGTCCTTTTGTTGCTTTTAACTTGTACAACAAGTTGCACCACTGAAAAAAAAAAAGATTGAACATATGTATGAAATGTAATATAATATCTCTTTAAAATCTAAGAAATAAATGACATAAATAATGCCTTTATGTAGGGTGTGGAAAGGAATAATAATTGTAGCATCAATAATATGTTACAAGTTTTTACGTCATATTGGCTTTCATGGCACAGCTGGCCTTCTAATAAAAAAAACACAAATAATGTCAATTTCTCAATTGAATAAGACGAGTTTCATTCTAGGATTTATGTCACAGTGAATGTTTGTGAACTGTCATGAAGGGTTCTCTGACACATTAAATGTTTATGAACTGTCATGACGAACTCATTCAGTCATTTAAAAAAAAACAACAGAAAAGCTTACAATCAATTTCTTTGTCTCTATCACATGTTTGTGATTAATGAGTAGAAAGACTTTCACTAACCCTTACCCCCTCCTCTCTCTCTCTCTCTCCCTCTCCCTCTCTCCCTCTCTCTCTCTCTCTCTCTCTCTCCCTCTCTCTCTGTTTCCGCGACTTTTTATCTCCTTATTTATCTATCTCTCTCTATCTCTCCCTCTTTGTCTCTCAGACAAAAACCTTCTATCTTTGACTTAACTCGTTCTTACTTCAAACATTTCTCTCTTAATCTCTCTTAATCTCTCTCTCTCTCTCTCTCTCTCTCTATCTATCTATCTATCTATTTAAATATATGGTCAATAACTTAAACTATTTCTTTTTCTCTCACTCTCTCTCTCTCTATCTCTCTCATACACACAGACACACGCTATGTTACACACACATGGCATTGCTTGAGTCTCATTCTCCTAACACACACATGGCAGTGCTTGAGTCTCATTCTCCTAACACACACATGGCAGTGCTTGAGTCTCATTCTCCTAACACACACATGGCAGTGCTTGAGTCTCATTCTCCTAACACACACATGGCAGTGCTTGAGTCTCATTCTCCTAACACACACATGGCAGTGCTTGAGTCTCATTCTCCTAACACACACATGGCAGTGCTTGAGTCTCATTCTCCTAACACACACATGGCAGTGCTTGAGTCTCATTCTCCTAACACACACATGGCAGTGCTTGAGTCTCATTCTCCTAACACACACATGGCAGTGCTTGAGTCTCATTCTCCTAACACACACATGGCAGTGCTTGAGTCTCATTCTCCTAACACACACATGGCAGTGCTTGAGTCTCATTCTCCTAACACACACATGGCAGTGCTTGAGTCTCATTCTCCTAACACACACATGGCAGTGCTTGAGTCTCATTCTCCTAACACACACATGGCATTGCTTGAGTCTCATTCTCCTAACACACACATGGCATTGCTTGAGTCTCATTCTCCTAACACACACATGGCATTGCTTGAGTCTCATTCTCCTAACACACACATGGCAGTGCTTGAGTCTCATTCTCCTAACACACACATGGCAGTGCTTGAGTCTCATTCTCCTAACACACACATGGCAGTGCTGGAGTCTCATTCTCCTAACACACACATTGCCGTGCTTGAGTCTCACTCTCCTAAAACACACATTGCCATACTTGAGTCTCATTCTCCTCATTGATGTAAGGCAGTGAGTGAAACGTTCAAGTTTTATAATAGCTTTCTCTCTATCTTCCCTTTTCATTCTCTCTCTCCTTCTGTCTCTGACGCTCTATCTCACTCTCTGCCTCCCTCCCCTCTCTCTCTCTTCTCTCTCACTCTCTCTTCCCCTTTCTCTCTTTCTCTCTCGCAGACACACATTGATTCATAAACCATATCCCCATTCTCGCTTATTTTCTACTTGCTTATATTTTACTCATTCTCTCACATCGTCTAAATCAGTTTTGCACAACTCAAAATGCAAGGTGGGCCGTAATACTCCGAAAAACTTGAGTGGGCCAAAAGAAAATAGGACAGGACCTGTGCGGGCTAAAATAAAATAGGAAAGGGGGAAAGCTTTTAAAAGAATAATAAGAATAAAGAATATTTCGTTATTTCGTGGGCCGCAAAGTGGGTGCTGACGGGCCGCATGTGGCCCACTGGCCGTATGTTGTGCTGGCCTGGTCATTCCTTTCTTCCTCCACCATATTCCCTTTCCTAAATACTCACATACACAAATTCTTTCGATCTTCTCTCCCTCCCTCCCACTCTCTCTCTCTCTCTCTTTCTCCCACACACTATGTCTCTTACGCGGCCCTTCTCTCTTCCTCTCTGTCTAGTTTCTGTTTGAAATGGCTTAGATAAATGATTGTGACATCACACGGTCCAATCATGTTTACACTCGTCGGTAGCTGGACCGCCGGTGTAACTGTGCAACGTTCCAGTGTGGATCTGTGACATGTTTTCCTTATCGTCCGCCTAAACTTAACTGCAATCACTAAAGAAAGATGAACACAAGGAAAGTGAAGCCTTAATAAGATAATTAACCTCAGGGCTGACCTGGTGCGACACACAAGGGAACGGTGAACAGTGGTTCTCATTTTTTACCACTCCAAGGCCCCAACTGAAAACAAGGGTCTTAAATGATTACAAATAAAATACGTTAATTTTGGGGGATTTAGCCTTGACACTACCCCCTTTATATGCTACCTTAAATTAAATACTTGATTTATTTAGATTATTTTTTTTAGTGGTAAGTGATAGTTATAACAAAAATTTATATTTTAATATTTAAGAAATTATTTTTATCTTTACATAAAAAAACAATATAAGAATGTTTTATCTTTGCATAAAAAAACATTATAAGAATCCCTTTTTTGTTGTTAGAGATTATATGAGCTTGTCGTCATTTGGTACTGTTTAGTTTTCCTCATATAGTCTCTAAACCAGATGTGTTCCCATCTTTACGTCACAGCCCACATTCTAAAACAAACAAATAGAGCAAGTTAAGACAATGATTTTATTTCTTCCGTTACTAAACTGCACACTAATTTCGATTTAGAAAACCATTTTAAAAACAATTCTGAAACTGTGTACATGGACATATCTTTGTTTATCTCATAATTTGTCACTTGCTGCAAAAATGTTAAATATTTAAAATAGATTGTTGACATAATGCCACTGACGTTTTGAAGTGGATGAAGATAAAATAAAGTGTAACATTTAAAGATGAAAATAATCTTCCTTCATTTATTGAAAGAGTATCAGACAAATCGTGGTCCTGCTACATGGAACGGAGTCGCCATCGCTGTGTTCCTTCAATGGTACCTGCCAAGAATGATTTGGCGTAGATTTCATTCAGTGGTACCTGCCAAGAATGATTCGGTGTAGATTTCATTCAGGGGTACCTGCCAAGAATGATTTGGCGTAGATTTCATTCAGTGGTACCTGCCAAGAATGATTTGGCGTAGATTTCATTCAGTGGTACCTGCCAAGAATGAACGGCGTAGATTTCCTTCAATGGTACCTGCCAAGAATGAACGGCGTAGATTTAGTGTAGATTTTGTTCAGGGGTACCTGCCAAGAATGATTTGGCGTAGATTTCATTCAGTGGTACCTGCCAAGAATGATTTGGCGTAGATTTCATTCAGTGGTACTTGCCAAGAATGATCGGCGTAGATTTCCTTCAATGGTACCTGCCAAGAATGAACGGCGTAGATTTCCTTCAATGGTACCTGCCAAGAATGATCGGCGTAGATTTCCTTCAATGGTACCTGCCAAGAATGATTCGGTGTAGATTTCATTCAGTAGTACCTGCCAAGAATGATTTGGCGTAGCTTTCATTCAGTGGTACCTGCCAAGAATGACCGGCTTAGATTTCATTCAGTGGTACCTGCCAAGAATGATCGGCGTAGATTTCATTCAGTGGTACCTGCCAAGAATGATTTGGCGTAGTTTTCATTCAGTGGTACCTGCCAAGAATGATTCGGCGTAGATTTCATTTAGTGTTACCTGCCAAGAATGATTTGGCGTAGCTTTCATTCAGTGGTACCTGCCAAGAATGATTTGGCGTAGCTTTCATTCAGTGGTACCTGCCAAGAATGATCGGCGTAGATTTCATTCAGTGGTACCTGCCAAGAATGATTCGGCGTAGATTTCATTCAGTGGTACCTGCCAAGAATGATCATCGTAGATTTCATTCAGTGGTACCTGCCAAGAATGATTTGGCGTAGATTTCATTCAGTGGTACCTGCCAAGAATGATTTGGCGTAGATTTCATTCAGTGGTACCTGCCAAGAATGATTTGGCGTAGATTTCATTCAGTGGTACCTGCCAAGAATGACCCGGGTAGCTTTCATTCAACGTGATGACATGGGGCGTCTACAAGGTCCCCCAATTTTAATGGCAATGCTACCTATACGGGTCGACCGCATTTCGGTCTCGGCGCCGAAAGTTGCCGTTTGACGATCACTTTCGGCGTAGTTTTGGGTTCGGTCGAAACAGAAATGTTAGCTTTCGGTTTAATATCGTTTTGGCCGAAAGTTCTTTTTAAATGTCGGTTATGTTTCGGTTTGCGAAATTGCAATACCTTTTTTTAATCAATATTTATATTGAGTAAGGAACAATGGCCTAACCCTTTTTATTACTAAGTTGTGTATTGCTAATGTTAATAGATGAATATCGAATCGACCAAGGTCCAGGGGGGGAAGGGGTAGTTTGGCTATTAACACTGAGAATTAGGAGAGGGGGGCAGAAGACGCCTCTGGAATACTTCACAGATAAGGCAATTAAATACAGTTCTTTTTTTAAATTATTCACATTTGTCGACATCACGATGGTATGCCAAAAGTTGATTAGTTTTGAAAGTACAGAAGGGTTCAATGTGAACTTGAGTCCAGTATCAGTGACCGACTGCACAGTGGAATGTTTCTTCGTGAACTGACATGAAATAGAGAGATAGTAGTGTTATACAGCTTCAAGGCTGATCCGAAACATTATAACATTCACCTTGTGGGGCTGACTAAAGTAAGTGTACATAAAATATTCTTAAAGGAATTTGCAACAGTAAGTGAGGAAATGTGAATGTTTATATAAAAGGTTATGTTGATAATTCTTATTGGAATTTGCCACAGTAGCTAAGTAACTATATTCACATTACATACATACATACATACATACATACATACATACATACATACATACATACATACATACATAGATAGATAGATAGATAGATAGATAGATAGATAGATAGATAGATAGATAGATAGATAGATAGATAGATACATACATACATACATACATACATACATACATACATACATACATACATACATACATACATACATACATACATACATACATACATACATACATACATACATACATACATACATACATACATACATACATACATACATACATACATACATACATACATACATACATACATACATACATACATACATACATACATACATACATACATACATACATACATACATACATACATACATACATACATACATACATACATACATACATACATACATACATACATACATACATACATACATACATACATACATACATACATACATACATACATACATACATACATACATACATACATACATACATACATACATACATACATACATACATACATACATACATACATACATACATACATACATACATACATACATACATACATACATACATACATACATACATACATACATACATACATACATACATACATACATACATACATACATACATACATACATACATACATACATACATACATACATACATACATACATACATACATACATACATACATACATACATACATACATACATACATACATACATACATACATACATACATACATACATACATACATACATACATACATACATACATACATACATACATACATACATACATACATACATACATACATACATACATACATACATACATACATACATACATACATACATACATACATACATACATACATACATACATACATACATACATACATACATACATACATACATACATACATACATACATACATACATACATACATACATACATACATACATACATACATACATACATACATACATACATACATACATACATACATACATACATACATACATACATACATACATACATACATACATACATACATACATACATACATACATACATACATACATACATACATACATACATACATACATACATACATACATACATACATACATACATACATACATACATACATACATACATACATACATACATACATACATACATACATACATACATACATACATACATACATACATACATACATACATACATACATACATACATACATACATACATACATACATACATACATACATACATACATACATACATACATACATACATACATACATACATACATACATACATACATACATACATACATACATACATACATACATACATACATACATACATACATACATACATACATACATACATACATACATACATACATACATACATACATACATACATACATACATACATACATACATACATACATACATACATACATACATACATACATACATACATACATACATACATACATACATACATACATACATACATACATACATACATACATACATACATACATACATACATACATACATACATACATACATACATACATACATACATACATACATACATACATACATACATACATACATACATACATACATACATACATACATACATACATACATACATACATACATACATACATACATACATACATACATACATACATACATACATACATACATACATACATACATACATACATACATACATACATACATACATACATACATACATACATACATACATACATACATACATACATACATACATACATACATACATACATACATACATACATACATACATACATACATACATACATACATACATACATACATACATACATACATACATACATACATACATACATACATACATACATACATACATACATACATACATACATACATACATACATACATACATACATACATACATACATACATACATACATACATACATACATACATACATACATACATACATACATACATACATACATACATACATACATACATACATACATACATACATACATACATACATACATACATACATACATACATACATACATACATACATACATACATACATACATACATACATACATACATACATACATACATACATACATACATACATACATACATACATACATACATACATACATACATACATACATACATACATACATACATACATACATACATACATACATACATACATACATACATACATACATACATACATACATACATACATACATACATACATACATACATACATACATACATACATACATACATACATACATACATACATACATACATACATACATACATACATACATACATACATACATACATACATACATACATACATACATACATACATACATACATACATACATACATACATACATACATACATACATACATACATACATACATACATACATACATACATACATACATACATACATACATACATACATACATACATACATACATACATACATACATACATACATACATACATACATACATACATACATACATACATACATACATACATACATACATACATACATACATACATACATACATACATACATACATACATACATACATACATACATACATACATACATACATACATACATACATACATACATACATACATACATACATACATACATACATACATACATACATACATACATACATACATACATACATACATACATACATACATACATACATACATACATACATACATACATACATACATACATACATACATACATACATACATACATACATACATACATACATACATACATACATACATACATACATACATACATACATACATACATACATACATACATACATACATACATACATACATACATACATACATACATACATACATACATACATACATACATACATACATACATACATACATACATACATACATACATACATACATACATACATACATACATACATACATACATACATACATACATACATACATACATACATACATACATACATACATACATACATACATACATACATACATACATACATACATACATACATACATACATACATACATACATACATACATACATACATACATACATACATACATACATACATACATACATACATACATACATACATACATACATACATACATACATACATACATACATACATACATACATACATACATACATACATACATACATACATACATACATACATACATACATACATACATACATACATACATACATACATACATACATACATACATACATACATACATACATACATACATACATACATACATACATACATACATACATACATACATACATACATACATACATACATACATACATACATACATACATACATACATACATACATACATACATACATACATACATACATACATACATACATACATACATACATACATACATACATACATACATACATACATACATACATACATACATACATACATACATACATACATACATACATACATACATACATACATACATACATACATACATACATACATACATACATACATACATACATACATACATACATACATACATACATACATACATACATACATACATACATACATACATACATACATACATACATACATACATACATACATACATACATACATACATACATACATACATACATACATACATACATACATACATACATACATACATACATACATACATACATACATACATACATACATACATACATACATACATACATACATACATACATACATACATACATACATACATACATACATACATACATACATACATACATACATACATACATACATACATACATACATACATACATACATACATACATACATACATACATACATACATACATACATACATACATACATACATACATACATACATACATACATACATACATACATACATACATACATACATACATACATACATACATACATACATACATACATACATACATACATACATACATACATACATACATACATACATACATACATACATACATACATACATACATACATACATACATACATACATACATACATACATACATACATACATACATACATACATACATACATACATACATACATACATACATACATACATACATACATACATACATACATACATACATACATACATACATACATACATACATACATACATACATACATACATACATACATACATACATACATACATACATACATACATACATACATACATACATACATACATACATACATACATACATACATACATACATACATACATACATACATACATACATACATACATACATACATACATACATACATACATACATACATACATACATACATACATACATACATACATACATACATACATACATACATACATACATACATACATACATACATACATACATACATACATACATACATACATACATACATACATACATACATACATACATACATACATACATACATACATACATACATACATACATACATACATACATACATACATACATACATACATACATACATACATACATACATACATACATACATACATACATACATACATACATACATACATACATACATACATACATACATACATACATACATACATACATACATACATACATACATACATACATACATACATACATACATACATACATACATACATACATACATACATACATACATACATACATACATACATACATACATACATACATACATACATACATACATACATACATACATACATACATACATACATACATACATACATACATACATACATACATACATACATACATACATACATACATACATACATACATACATACATACATACATACNGATAGATAGATAGATAGATAGATAGATAGATAGATAGATAGATAGATAGATAGATAGATAGATAGATAGATAGATAGATAGATAGATAGATAGATAGATAGATAAATAGATAGATGGATAGATGGATCGATGGATCGATGGATCGATGGATCGATGGATGGATGGATCGATGGATCGATGGATCGATGGATCGATGGATCGATGGATGGATGGATCGATGGATGGATGGATCGATGGATGGATGGATGGATGGATGGATGGATGGATGGATGGATGGATGGATGGATGGATTTAAGGTTCGAAGTGATCCCTTCTAAAGTAAGTGTATATTTACATTTTTAAATAAAATAGAGAAGCATATAATAAAGTAGAGAAGCATGTAATAAAGTAGAGAAGCATACAATAAAGTAGTGAATCATTCAATAAAGTAGAGAAGCATATAATAAATTAGAGAAGCATATAATAAAGTAGAGAAGCATATAACAAAGTAGAAAGTAGAGAAGCATGTAATAAAGTCTAGAATTATTTAAAAAAGTAGAGAAGTTTAAAATAAAGTAGAGACGTTTATAATAAAGTAGAGAAGCATGTAATGAAGTAGAGAAGCAAATAACAAAGTAGAGAAACATATAACGAAGTATAGAAGCATATAACAAATTAGCAAAGCATATAACAAAGTAGAAAAGCATACAACAAATTAGAGCACCAAATATCTCAGTCCCCTCGAGAATGAAGTACGACGACCTGGTGGAGCATCTGGGAGAGTTCGGTCCCTATCAGAGAAAGATTTACCTCCTCACGTGTCTGCCCGTCTTGTCTGCTGCCATCCAGACGCTTCTACCTGTCTTCACCCTCGCGACACCAGACCACAGGTACGTGCACCCGGTACATCATATATATATTAAATAATCAGGTCTAGATTAATGTATAATAATATGGCCAGAAAACTTTAGAACGATCAGAGTTAAATTCAGTGAGCTAACATTTCCATAATAATTTTCTATACAAGAGAACCTGGCTGCGATTGTGACTTAAACACAATACGGCGAAACATTTAAGTGAGATATGGTGTATGTATGCCAGGAACATGAAGAAACGAGCAAATAGTGCAATATGAGTTTATGGACCTTCTTTAACATTTTATTGTAAAAACATCCATTAACCCGTGTTGGTAGCCAAATTCAAGCCAATATGTCCATTCATAATCTGTTTTAGCTGAAAAAGAATATGAACCAGTTACTTTTCGACTCAATTTTTTACTCAATTTTGACTCAATTTTTAATAACATTCTTGAGGATGTAACCCCTCCCTCCCCCCCCCAAAGCGGTCGTCTTAATGAAAATATGTGATCCTAGAACATACCCTATTAGAACTCGTATCCTAGAACATACCCTATTAGAACTCGTATCCTAGAACATACCCTATTAGAACTCGTATCCTAGAACATACCCTATTAGAACTCGTATCCTAGAACATACCCTATTAGAACTCGTATCCTAGAACATACCCTATTAGAACTCGTATCCTAGAACATACCCTATTAGAACTCGTATCCTAGAACATACCCTATTAGAACTCGTATCCTAGAACATACTCTATTAGAACTCGTATCCTAGAACATACCCTATTAGAACTCGTTGAGTAAGGCTACCGGATTTCTTAAGGCCTTAAATCTGTCAATGTTTTCAGATGCTCAATACCCGAGCTGACCAATGACACGTACACGACACAGAACGCCGGACACCTGGCCCTCCAGAACCACACGTTGTGGCGGGGAGGCGGTGACGTCAGCAACCCGTGGGGATCAGGGCAGTGTCACAACATCGTCAACAGGCAAGTGGTCAAGCGGAGTGTGAGGAGAAGATGATTGATTGGGGGATGTTTGATGACATACTGTGAGGAGAAGATGATTGTTTCGATGATGTTTGACTGAATCAATAGTTGAATCATCGAACAGAAGTAGTGCGCAATCAAAAGCTGCGCTCGGAGAAAAGCCTGGATTTTAGCGCCCCAAAAAGTTTACAGCAAAAAACATATTTTGTTGATAAAAAACACAAGATCTCGGCGCCCCCTGAAGGTGGCGCCCCTCCTATCGCTCGTACCTGTAACACAGCTTTAAAAGAGCAAATCTACACTCTTTTTCTTGAATTTAATAAAATATGAACACATGACAATATTAACAACATTAACATGACATCTATTGAACACTGTTAAAATAAGATCTATTGAGCCATATTAAAATTACATCCATTGACTAATATCAAAATAATACCAATTGACCAACATTAAAATGATATCTACTGACCAATATTAAAAAGACAGCTACTGACCAATATTAAAATGACATCTATTGACCTACTTTAAAATGACTTCTACGGAACAATATTAAAAGGACATCAATAAAATCGAGAGTTTCGAAAAACGAATTTGATCTGACAACATAAAAAAAAAAAACATTTTGTTCCTTCTATATATATATATTTATATAGTAACGGAGAAATACAGTATGATCACAAAGCGATAGCTCGAAAAACTTGCAATGTACGTTGGATGAGGTACGGTGGTGGCTTTGTTGATACAGCAATCGTTTTTTTGTTTCGGTGCTTTCTAGCTGCAGTCTTGAATTTTAACAGGATGACGAGCTATCCAATTTTCGCTTAATGGGCATTGTGATGCAGCCTCAGGTTTCGCTGCAATTACGACACGTCTTTTGAACCCCCCAAATTAAATTTTACTTTCATAAACCTGCTTCAAAATGTATTTGTAAAGTTATTTAATGGTTTTCATACACTGGTCTTTCGTTATGGGATGTTCCGTTTCGGTATTCAGATTACGTAACACCAAGGTTTTTAGAATATCTGTATCTATTTATACAACGATATTATGAATGATAAGAAGTGGTGGGTTTGCAGATAAAATTAATTGATATACTTTTATTGAAACGCATTTTTTATTCGACGACACATCCTCAAAAGATATAGAATCAAAATTGTTTGATCATCCATGGTGAAGATAATGTCCAAACATGTCATTTGATTTCCTCTGTGTGGCCAGGTGACGCTTTTTATTCGTGTCACCGCAACAACGAAAAAAAAAAAAAAAAAAAAAAAAAAAAAAAAAAAAAAAAAACACGTTGCGGGTTTAATATTTCCACGAGCAGAAGCAAATATTGTTGAGTTGAAACGAAATGAGATACCAATCATCAATGTAGGAAGTTATTTTTATTTTGTTGAGGGGGGGTTGAAATAATGTGTTTTCAATTGAAATTTCAAAACGGTTTGACTTCCCCGTTTGCCTGGCCAGTCCAGCGAGTTCACAACTGTGTTATACACCAAAAGAATTTTTCTTGAATGTTGTCACATTTTTTTTTTAAATTAACGTTCAGAAGTGCCACAGATCCTGATGCTTTGAAAGGCAACTTCCCGTTTTCAAATAAGACAGAAAAGTGCAACAGATGGGTTTACGATACCTCAACGTTCGACAGCACATTCGTCACACAGGTCAGTACTTGGTCAGTGTTTGTTGTGCATACTTGCCAATTATTTCGTTACTGTTTGCTTAGTCATCGGCCAATATTTTGTTAAGCAGTCCGTTACCATTCAATATTTGATCAGTGTTCGGTCAGTCATGGGGTCAGTAATTGGTCAGGCTTCGGTCAATTTGGGGTAAAGTCTTCTACCAATGCGTTTACTTAACATTAGGATGGCAGCGTAGCTAAAATAATTCTAAATTTTCGTCTTGGCCTGGTAAATGAAAACGAAACAAAAAAAAACTACCTGATCGAAATAAATATGATGAGGACTGTGAGAAGATTGAAATGACATAGACTTTTCGGTGACCGTACGAAGCTAACCATTTCAGAGACGAGTGAGAAAATACAAAATTTGAGTAAGTGAAAAAAATAATTAAAGACAGTCAATGGCGTGCAACCTTATGTCAAAACTCTCGGTGGCAAAAGCAAAATAGAGGTATTGAAAGAAATGTGAACTACTATAAAAAATAAGAAAATAGGACAGGACTAATGCGGACCAAAAGAAAATAGGACAGAGGGGAAAGCTATTAAGGAAATAATCAGAATAAATAATATTTCGTTACTTCGCGGGCCGCAAAGGTGGTGCTGGCGGGCCGTATGTTTTGCAGGCCTGTTCTGGAGGAATGTCTAGAGGATTGACTAAAGGAGAACAACGTGGATAAAAATTGCAGCACAGAGCAAACGATTATTTTAAATATTTTTAATCCGTCAAACATAGATGCATATAAGCAAACCTTACGTGTTATATAAATGTGTTTAAGGACAATTTTAATGGGTGGTGAAAAAAGAATATGGCTGCATGAATAGCATCTCAAAAGAATGTGTTGAAACACAGTGCATCTGCGGGGGCAAGATGATCACCACATTTTTTTATTATAAATCGAATAACATCACACGGCTAACATTGCAACAAAAAAAAAAAAAACATTAGTAAATTTTATTGATGATTTTAAAAAACAACGAACAAACAACAAACATTTTTCAAACTGAAATCCCTGCACAGATAAACATTGTGTGCGACGCCAAGAGCTTGAGATCCCATGCTAACATGATCTACATGGCTGGAGTCCTTGTCGGATCATTCGTATTCGGTCTGGTGTCAGACAAGTATTGACGTGTTTATGTTTTAATTCTCTAAATCAGTGGTTCTCAAAATATTTTCCAGCATCCCCTAGACGCGCCCGCCCCCTCCCCTTCCCTGATTTACCCCCAAAGTAATCATTTCTAGAATAAAATTTTGTAAGAACCTACATGGTAGGCTATTACAGAATGAGCTGTTTAAGTGTCCATATAAAATCTTAAATTGTAATTTTACAAAGTGTGTTAGTTCAATGATTGATTTCTCAAATAATCATTATAGCTTGTATAATCATTTTGAAATTTAAATTGATTCGGCTCCTGTCAAATAAAAATAATACGAGTTTACTATCAATATTTTTGAGAATCCCAATTGGGAAATAGGAATGTTATGTTGAACGTAAGCTTGTCGTCTGTGTGGGTGCAGTGATTGGGAATTGTGTTTTGCTCCCTTCAGTATTTATCTAAAAATCAGTTTCATTAGCAATAGCTCAACATTCTTAAAGTGCATTTGCAAATCCTTTAAACAAAAATGTATCTCCATATTGAAATCAATTGATCAATCTGTTGAAAATTCGCCCCACCCATTGTTGTTTAAAGACCATATTCCCACCCCCCCCCAACTTCCTGTAAAAATGTAAGCTGCAAAACATTACAATAGATCATCATCATCATCATCATCGTGTCCCTTAGTCCTTGGACCGTTGGGGCGACAAACATGACATGTGAACTATCCTCCTCCATTCGTCTCTGTTTTCAGCACATCGCACAGCATCGCCCAGTTTTAGCCCTGTCCACTCTTTGATGTTATCCTCCCCTCTTTTTCCCTGTCTTCCTCTTCTCCTCTGTCCTCTCGTTGTGCCCTGCATGATTTCTTTGGTGACTTCATCGTTTCTTCAAGTTGACAAATGAAGACAATAGAGATGCCAAACAAAACGAAACACATTCTTGCATTCAAAGATACGTTAAACTCTTTTTAAAGGTCATACTTCATCAATTGTGTGTCAATTCATTGTGTTGTAATGAAGAGAAACTGCCAGAATTGGCCAACAAGTATTCTCCGTACATTTCAGAATAGGTCGAAAGAAAGCCATCCTGATGTCGCTGGTCTTCCACTCGGTGGCCGCCATTTGTACAGCTTTCTCAGCCAACTTTCCGGTCTTCGCGTTTCTGAGATTTGTCACAGGGTTGGGAGACGTGGGTCTGTTTATGTGCTGCTTTGTGCTGGGTAAGTGGGTCTGTTTATGTGCTGCTTTGTGCTGGGTAAGTGGGTCTGTTGGTGTGCTGCTTTGTGCTGGGTAAGTGGGTCTGTTTATGTGCTGCTTTGTGCTGGGTAAGTGGGTCTGTTTATGTGCTGCTTTGTGCTGGGTAAGTGGGTCTGTTTATGTGCTGCTTTGTGCTGGGTAAGTGGGTCTGTTTATGTGCTGCTTTGTGCTGGGTAAGTGGGTCTGTTTATGTGCTGCTTTGTGCTGGGTAAGTGGGTCTGTTTGTGTGCTGCTTTGTGCTGGGTAAGTGGGTCTGTTTATGTGCTGCTTTGTGCTGGGTAAGTGGGTCTGTTTATGTGCTGCTTTGTGCTGGGTAAGTGGGTCTGTTTATGTGCTGCTTTGTGCTGGGTAAGTGGGTCTGTTTGTGTGCTGCTTTGTGCTGGGTAAGTGGGTCTGTTTATGTGCTGCTTTTTGCAGGGTAAGTCGGTCTCTTTGTGTGCTGCTTTGTGCTGGGTAAGTGGGTCTGTTTGTGTGCTGCCTTGTGCGCGTAAGTGGGTCTCTTTGTGTGCTGCTTTGTGTAGGGTAAGTGGGTTCTTTATGTGCTGCTTTGTGTTGGGTAAGTGGGTCGCATTATGTGGTGCTTTTTGTTGGGTATTGGGTCAATTTATGTGCTGCTTTAGCTAGGTAATTGCGTCTCTTTATGTGCTGCCTTAGCTGGGTAAGCGGGTCTCTTTATGTACCACCTTCTGAGGGGTAAATGGTTCTTCTAACCTTATCTGCTGCTGTGTGGTGGTTCTGTTTATATGTTGCTTAGACATCTTGTTTACAATGTAGAAATCCACAATAAATTCATCTTCATCCAGAATTTACCCAGCGGCGAAATTCATATTTCTTAACAACAGTTACGATAAAATAATGACCATTTTAAGTATAGAAAAAATTACATATACTGGACGCTAGTTAACTTTCATTATTTTTTTTTCTTAGAGTTATATCTTAATAAGAACAATACAAAAGCAAGAGCTCAACCAAAGCATAGGTTATGTTAAACATAGGTTATGTTAAACATAGGTTATGTTAAACGTAGGTTATGTTAAACGTAGGTTATGTTAAACGTAGGTTATGTTAAACGTAGGTTATGTTAAACGTAGGTTATGTTAAACGTAGGTTATGTTAAACGTAGGTTATGTTAAACGTAGGTTATGTTAAACGTAGGTTATGTTAAACGTAGGTTATGTTAAACGTAGGTTATGTTAAACGTAGGTTATGTTAAACGTAGGTTATGTTAAACGTAGGTTATGTTAAACATAGGTTATGTTAAACGTAGGTTATGTTATCATAACACATTTTTAAAATACCAAAGAGAAACAAATTAAATAATGTTTGAATAAAAAAAATAAAAATATTTCTGTATTAAAAGTATTTCCATATTGCTGATTAAAAGTGCCATTATAACTCCGAACTCCACAATAGAATTATATCAGGCCCTGTGCCCTCCACCCTCAAAGGTAGGTAATTGCAAAAGTGAGACAGTCGGGATAATTTTTCAGGTTACTGCCCAGGTACAGAAATATTTGTGAAAAATCTACAGTTGAACAACTTGACATTCAAATTCAAATAGATATTTTTTTGAAAATTATATTCACAGTATATTATATTCAGAGTGAATTATATTTGACTGTATCGACAATTAATTATATTTGCAGTAATAATTTCATACATATTTCTTTTCTTTTTTTTTAACAAACTCAGCCATGGAATTGGTTGGCCGAAAATGGCGGGCCCAAGCCGGAGTGGCGGTCCAGTACTTCTGGTGTGCCGGGATGTTTGTCCTCGTCGGGATGGCGTACGGAATCCGGGACTGGAAAGTGCTTCAGATTGTACCGTCTTGCTGCACACTAGTGATCTTCTTACTGTGGTGGTCAGTATACCCAATACTTAATGTCTGCGTCCTTATCAAGTCGGAGCTAACAGCATGCGATGAAAGAAGACAATTCTTTGTCTTATATTATTATTACTGCTTAAGACGAAATACTTTTCATAATTTTATTTAAATACATATGATATCTAAAAATAAATGCTCTTCGATACTTTCAAGGACTTGTTAAAGGTTCTTGAATTTATTAACAATAAATAATCTCCTACATAGTGATTACATAAAAGAAATTTAGGATGCACGGTAAAAAGTGTAGGCCTATTATTTTGTTAAATATTTGCATAAAGATTTTTTTTTTTTTTTTTAAAGTTCATTTTGAGAGAGTGCGAATTTCAGATTTGTAACAAATTGTTTGCAGTTGTAGAGAACATACGAAAAGAGTGGCAGTACTAGCTTTAACGTTATTGAAAAATGATGATCAATATCGTAACTCTGGGACATGCAGTCTCTCTACCCTCCTTCAAGCATCCCTCACTCCGCATATCTATTTCTCTCTCTTTCTGTTTTCTTGAGTTTTATGCAGCGCTGTGAGACTCAACCAATTTTTACCGTTTATTTATTTATTTGTTTTTTTAAATTTCACATCAACATAAGCGTTTTCAATTTAAATGGTTTGAAGCGTTTCAGATGTTGTCGGATGGCATACTGTGTATGTTTTGCTACAATTCATCTAGGTTCATCCCGGAGTCCCCCAGGTGGTTGCTGAGCAAAGGTCGCGAGGAGGAGGCCAGAGCCATCCTAGAAAAGATCGCCACGGCCAACAGAAAGGAGTTGCCGAAATACATTTTCGACAGCGAGGGCGAGTCTCAGGCCAAGGGGACTTTGATGGACGTGTTCTCCCATCCTGTGCTGGCCTTCAGGGCTGTTATCATCTTTATCAATTGGTGAGTGCAGGAATCACGTCAGTAACATCAAATTGCAGGTCACATAATTTAACTATAAATGACACATATATTTTTAAAATGTTTATTAACATAATGGTTTCACCACACATATATAATTTTGAATCCTTCAAAACCGATTTGAAAACACATCTATTTCGCAGACACGTGCTGGGGTGAGGTTGTCCACCACCTTTTCCAGCTAGCTATTATCTCCTATATGTATATTGGCCTGTGTTGTTGATAGTTGAAAGGGATGAAAGACTCTGACTGGGTTTGGCTCGTTTGTAGTTGTTGTAGTTGTTGTAGTTGTTGCATTTTATGTTTCAGTTCTCTTTGAATATGGCTAACTCTGTACCGCGCTTCGAGCCTTGGGGATGAAGCGTGCGTTTTATAAATAAACTTTATTCTTATTACTATTATATGTATATATATATTTATATGTATTGATGTTCATTTGTTAAAGTTCGCTCAACCTGAGATTTTCTAGAAGAGCGCTGGGCAATCCTATCGCAAAACGAAACGTGGTGCGAACGTAAACATGAAGCTAACCGACAAGTTGCACTAATTGACCTCTAAACGTCGGCCGTGTTTTGTTTAAATTGTTTTGAATTTAAAAAAAAATAATTAAAACATATATGAACAACTTAAAAAAAAAACCAAAAAAAAACCCCACACTTATTTGGACACTTTTAGCTGTCCAAACGGGCCATCAAAGATGGGGGCGTGACAGACGTGGGATTCTGGTAAACTGGTTTTACTTCCTTAACAAAAAACAAAAAAATTAAGGTAATTTTCATATTTTTAAATCTTTTTTTTTTTTTTAATTTTTTTTTTTCTTTTTTATTCACACATAAGGTTTCTGAGTTCCTTTTTTGTTACAATCATGCACGACTCACCTTACTTTCAGACCAAATGTTTCATTTATTCAAATTGAAAAAGAAAGAAAAAAAAATGTGTGAACTTCCGACATGTGGCCTTTGCCACCGAAACAGTGGATCACCAGCTCTTTGTTTGCCACCGAAACAGTGGACCACCTGCTTTTTGTTTGCCACCGAAACAGTGGACCACCAGCTCTTTGTCTGCCACCGAAACAGTGGACCACCAGCTCCTTGTTTGCCACCGAAACAGTGGACCACCTGCTCTTTGTTTGCCCCCAAACAGTGGACCACCTGCTCTTTGTTTGCCACCGAAACAGTGGACAACCTGCTCTTTGTTTGCCACCGAAACAGTGGACCAGCTGCTCTTTGTTTGCCGTGAAATTGGGGCGGGCTGTGGATTGAACCAAGCCGGTGACCTGTGTTCATGATCTGATTTATGGCGATGACGGCTTGATGACTGCACGTTGCTAAAAATCTGGCCAGGGGGTCATGAGAGTCTTAGGCTCGATCCTCGATTTATGATATCGATTTTTGAAAGGAATTTAGTTGCTAGTTTAGTTGTTGTTTATTAGAGCTAGGGCTGCTCTAGCAGGCATCACACACAGTAGTGATAGGTACGATGGTGGAGGCAGGGCTGCTCTAGCAGGTATCAATCACAGCAGTGATAGGTACGATGGTGGAGGCAGGGCTGCTCTAGCAGGTACCAATCACAGCAGTGATAGGTACGATGGTGGAGGTAGGGCTGCTCTAGCAGGCATCACACACAGCAGTGATAGGTACGATGGTGGAGGTAGGGCTGCTCTAGCAGGCATCACACACAGTAGTGATAGTTATGATGGTGGAGCTACCTACCTAATGCTAGAGGCACAGATGAGATGTGCGTGGTTACACGATTGGAGCAAACTTTTGTTCAACCTGTTGATGACAAGGAAGGTGTCTAGTTTCACACTTAATTTTGAATTAAACACACTAGAAAAAAGTATGTCTTCATATCCTTCTTTTTAGTAATAGTATTTCATGACTCACGCCTACCAAGTAGTGTGACAAAATGTATTGTCATTTGTCAAGGATAAGACTTTTATTTAATATATGGTTGCCCACTATACTCTAGAATGATCTATATTAATGTCTTGAAAATCACCCACAAACCAATCTTGAGTGGCAGCTCATGAATTAATGAAACACAAGCTGATTGTAACACTACTTATCTCAACCCCTTGTCTCGCCCCATTCCCCCCACCCCTCGCCCCTAGGTTAGTTGTGACAGTTGTGTACTACGGCCTGACCTTCAACATCGGTACTCTAAGTGGAGACATCTACGTGAACTTTGCCCTGAACGCCAGCGTGGAGACCCTGGGGAACGTGGCCGCCTTTCTGGTGTTGCCTCGATGGGGCAGGAAACGGTTCCACTGCTTCGCCGTTCTACTGAGTGGCCTGGCGTGCCTCTGTTCGATGATACCAGTGCTGCTGGGGACCACAGGTAGGTGGGGAAGGGGGGGGGCCGCAGGCGGGAAGGGGAACACAGGGGGGAGTGGACCACAGGTGGGAAGGGACCACAAGTGGGAGGGGATCACAGGTAAACTGGGACCACGTGTTAGAGACGATACCAGACAGGAGATGAGACGTAGGTGGGTGGGGAACACACGTAGGTGGGGAAAACAGGTAGGGGGCGACCAAAAGTGGGTGGAGAAAACAGGTAGGGGGCGACCACAAGTAGGTGGGGAAAACAGGTAGGGGCGACCACAGGTAGGTGGGGAAAACAGGTAGGTGGCGACCACAAGTAGGGGGGGAAAACAGGTAGGGGCGACCACAGGTTGGTGGGGAAAACAGGTAGGGGCGACCACAGGTAGGTGGCGATAACAGGTAGGCGAAGATCTTTAGGAGGTGAATACAGTTAGGAGGGGACCTCAGCTAGGAGAGGACCACAGGCACAGGGGGGGGGGCAGCACAGGCTGTGGCGTAGTAAGTGTTATTGCCACCCCTTCAGTGGGCCAAGGAGAAAACAAACTGTGGTTTGCCGAAAATCAAGCCCCTCCATAAAAAGAAAAAAAAAGTGCTGTCTTGGTGGAGCCCCCCTTCTGCACCCCACTCCCTGCGCCACTGGCCACTGGTGGAAGGAGACTACATTTGGCTGAGACCCACAGATAGAATGGGGGACTACAGGTTAAAAGGGTTCACAGGAGGTGGTCATCAGGCTGGATGCGACTACAGGTTAAAGGGGTTCACAGGAGGGGGTCATCAGGCTGGATGCGACTACAGGTTAAAGGGGTTCACAGGAGGGGGTCATCAGGCTGGATGCGACTACAGGTTAAAGGGGTTCACAGGAGGGGGTCATCAGGCTGGATGCGACTACAGGTTAAAGGGGTTCACAGGAGGGGGTCATCAGGCTGGATGCGACTACAGGTTAAAGGGGTTCACAGGAGGGGGTCATCAGGCTGGATGCGACTACAGGTTAAAGGGGTTCACAGGAGGGGGTCATCAGGCTGGATGCGACTACAGGTTAAAGGGGTTCACAGGAGGGGGTCATCAGGCTGGATGCGACTACAGGTTAAAGGGGTTCACAGGAGGGGGTCATCAGGCTGGATGCGACTACAGGTTAAAGGGGTTCACAGGAGGGGGTCATCAGGCTGGATGCGACTACAGGTTAAAGGGGTTCACAGGAGGGGGTCATCAGGCTGGATGCGACTACAGGTTAAAGGGGTTCACAGGAGGGGGTCATCAGGCTGGATGCGACTACAGGTTAAAGGGGTTCACAGGAGGGGGTCATCAGGCTGGATGCGACTACAGGTTAAAGGGGTTCACAGGAGGGGGTCATCAGGCTGGATGCGACTACAGGTTAAAGGGGTTCACAGGAGGGGGTCATCAGGCAAGATGCCATTACCGGTGGGCGAGACGCTATGTGGGCCAACTGCTTTATTATTCATTTGTTAACATCTTTTTATAGTCTTGGAAAAATAATGCGTTTTGAACGGGAGCATGTTACTGAGATGGATAGAGCCAACAAATACAGTGGGGCCGCTTGATGGAATGGCGTCCGTAGGGAAGATTAGACCTGGGCGTGTACGATCAATATAGAACAGCCAGTGATAAGGTTAACAGTGGGATGCCCGTTAACTGATTTAATTAGCGTTGGCTAAAAAATTAATAGAGCTTTGTTTAAGTCCAGCAATAAGCCAAGGCCACACATGTAGAAATATAATGATCGAAGGTTTCACACAACACGCTAATGTGGGAGAAAAGACATCGCTGGTGTCACGTGATGAGTTCACACAGTGTATCAAATAACGTCATAAACAATATTTTGAAAACACTCTAATCAAAAATGAAGAAAGATTTTATAATAAAGTTGAGTGGATTCTTTAAGCGATGCACTTTATGAATCAAAGGGATTCTAACGCGATGCGGACGAAACTTAAATGTTATATTCTTATTATTTTTAAAAAAAATATATATACATATTTTCTGCACAGACTTTCTTTATGTTTTCAAATTTTAAGAATGTCTATGTCTACGTTTTAGTAGTATAAAACTTGTCTTTTTAAAAAATTTTTAAGTATCTTCTTTTGTATGTGCTTAATTTTAGCATTAAAATTGTAACTTGAATATCATCGACAAAAGAAGTATTAGATCTATTTAACTTTTTTGTGTGTTAAATATGTATGGTTTTATTGTAAATGTAATCATAAGTTTATTCCCTGTACAGACGCATGGATGACCATTAGTTTGTTCCCTGTACAGTGTACAGATGTATGTAATCATCAGTTTGTTCTCCTGTACAGACGTATGGGTGACCATTAGTTTGTTCCCTGTACAGATGTATGGGTGACCATTAGATTGTTCCCTGTACAGACGCATGGATGACCATTAGTTTGTTCCCTGGCCAGTGTACAGATGTATGTAATCATCAGTTTGTTCTCCTGTACAGACGTATGGGTGACCATTAGTTTGTTCCCTGTACAGATGTATGGGTGACCATTAGATTGTTCCCTATACAGATGCATGGATGACCATTAGTTTGTTCCCTGTACAGTGTACAGATGTATGTAATCATCAGTTTGTTCTCCTGTACAGACGTATGGGTGACCATTAGTTTGTTCCCTGTACGGATGTATGGGTGACCATTAGATTGTTCCCTGTACAGACGTATGGGTGACCATTAGTTTGTTCCTTGGCCAGTGTAGAGATGTATGTAAAAATTAGTTTGTTCCCTGGCCAGTGTACAGATGTATGTAATCATCAGTTTGTTCTCCTGTACAGACGCATGGGTGAACATTCTCCTGTCCAACGTCGGCAAGTTTGGTGCTACAGGTGGTTTCGCCACGATGTTCGTGTACTCGGCTGAGCTGTACCCGACGTCGCTACGGAACAGTGTGGTGGGAACAAGTTCCATGGTTGCCAGAGTTGGCGGCATGATATCTCCATACATAGCAGACCTGGTGAGATATGATGTCTGTAACTAGCAGACCTGGTGAGATATGATGTCTGTAACTAGCAGACCTGGTGAGATATGATGTCTGTAACTAGCAGACCTGGTGAGATATTTTAGATGTAAATAGCAGACATGGTGAGATAGTATATCTGTAGATATCACACTTGGTAAGACATAACATCTGTTCATAGCAGACCTGTTAAGACATTCTATATGTGCACGTAAAAGGCTCGGTAGGACACGATATTTCCAAACATAGAACCTGTCGACATAATATCTCCATAGATAGCAGACTTGGTTAAAGCGTAATGCAGTACATATACTCAATTCCAAAACTGAAATATCATCTGCACCCGCTAGCAAGTGGGTCGAACACAAATCAATCAGCCCCACTTAATCGAACGACTAATAAATTGTTTGTGTTCAGCGTGCCAATGTCCATTGTTATAATTCGTCTTTGGCCATTCGTTATACTCCTTCATTTCCGTCATCCATCATATCTTTAGTTTTTTTAGTCTTCTCATCACGTCACCAGGGTATACTCCTCGGCGGTCAGTTTGGCGCAGCGGTTCCATTCATTGTGTTCGGCACATGCGGTGTGCTTGCAGGACTGCTGACTCTCTTCCTGCCAGAAACTTTGAACCAAACTTTGCCGGAGACCGTCCAGGAAGCGATAGACTTCGGAAGGTAAAATCAAGTACTTTTATTCATGTGCATTACTGCAGAGCCGTTCTTAGGAGCTTNGGGGGGGGGGGGGGGGGGGGGGGGGGAGGGGGGGGGGGGGGGGTCCGGGGGGGCGGAGCTCCCTCGAGCTGAGGAGAAAACACCACCCACCACTGCAGACGGCTGCAGTGCCAGTTTAAGAAGAACCGGGGGCTAGAGGGTGCCTCAAGGGGGCGCCCTCACGCTCGGAGCCCTAAGAACGGGCCTGATTACTGCTTAACATCACATACATTATGATTAGATAAATATTTCGTCAATTAAACTTTCATATTATTTGAAGAAAATTTTTTTTTATAAATAAAAATTGTAGGGTCGCTTACTTTATATATATTTCTGTAGCGTTGTATGGCGGATGAAGACATCAGGTGTTAGCAAATATTTTTCAGCTTCTCCCCACTTGTTGATGTAAAAATAATGACCTCCTCCTCACTGTTAAAATCCCAAACGCTATTCGCACGGAATCAAGGCTTCGCGTGATCTATTATCCTTATGATATCCTAGTGGCTATGTGAGGGGCTGGTGGCCAGTTGATAACTTATTGAACGAAAAACAAAATACTTTTTAAAAAAAATAAGACAGTAATTAAGTCTGCGAGCTCTAACCACAGAAAATGAGATTGTCATCGGTACGTTCGATGCGAGCACATTCGTTTTGTTCCGTGATATTATTATGTCATACGTCTGGAGTCGGCGATTGGAATGAAACTAGATAACATTTCGTTATTGATCCAAATGAATGGAAATGCTTTCTTGATAACAGTGCACATATTAATTTTGAGCACATCAATAAATGAGCACTTGTCTAAAGAAAGATAACATTTTACAACTATAACAATTTAAACACAAGACACCCAAAGTATTTCTCAAGCGCAGAAGGCAGCCATAAATGAATTCCTTTAGAGACAACAATGAATTAATTAGTGATCATTTAGATTTGGTCACCGCTGGAGTGTGTGTGTGTGTGGGGGGGGGGAATCACGTTGGTAAATTATTGCGGAATAGGGAACATGATAATTGTTATATCTTTGGTACTAACTTTAAGAGAAAGAATTCGGCCTTGATCAAGGCCGATCTTAGGTATCTGTGATGATGCAGGTGGTAGGTGATCTTAGTTATCTGTGATGAAGGGGGTGGTAAGTGATCTTAGGTATCTATGATGAAGTGGGTGGGATGTGATCTTAGTTATCTGTGAAGAAATGGGGGGGGGGGTACCATCAGTGCAATCGACCCAAACCTCCCAGGGCTTATCTCACACTCTGCGAGAACGAGGGCTGAAAACAGTTTGGCACCCCCAGGGTGGCACTAACCCTAGCTACACCACTACTCTACACAAACCCTAGCTACGCCACTGCTCTTACCAACCCTAGCTACGCCACTGCCTTGTACCAACCCTAGCTACGCCACTGCTCTGCACCAACTCTAGCTACGCCACTGCTCTGCACAAACCCTAGCTACGCCACTGCTCTGCACTAACCCTAGCTACGCCATTGCCCTGCACCAACTCTAGCTACGCCACTGGTCTGCAACAACCCTAGCTACGCCACTGCTCTGCACCATTCTTACGCAACTAAGAAAGAACCGTGGTAATGATTATATTGGAGAAACTATTTTATTTGTCTCCATAAAACTCCAATTTCTCGAAGTATGTATGTCTGGAAATAACGTTGTAAGATGGCACGGCACGCGTGCTCTGTCCTGGCGGGGCGATCGTACAGAAGAAGTGCCTCTTCCGCCCTTGACGTTATATTTATGCCTGTTACCCTAGTCCAGCTACTGACCATATATTGACTCAAATGTCAACACCGTGAGTGCCCCTGCCCACGCAGCTTAATGATAAATGGCTGGAAACTCAAGCCGAATTAAGCCTCTTCAGGACTGGATGGTACATCCCACAGCGCCCGCTGTTTAACATCATAACTTATTTACGCTCATCTCATTGCTGCAGCGCGGGAGCTTGGTCGGAAAAGTCCCGATGAAATATTCAACGCACTGTCGTCGTGTGTAGTTGTAGGTCGTGGGTTGGGATTTCACATAAACGTATACCGCTTATTGGGAAAAATACTATTTCTTTTTTTTTTTTTTTCTTTCCAGAATTAGAATAACAAAAGTCACCGAGATTGCAGCGCCAGAAGAAAACGGGGATTCCCGGAGTATCGGTAGAAGTGCCATCAGTAATCGAGTACACGGGTTAAACAAGGTATCGACCACCAATCAAGGATATTTGAATACAACATTTTTGGTGGAAAAGCTTTAAAACAATTTTTTTTTAAAATAATAGTAGGGATCTTTAGATGTTGTAGAGACCAAATAAGGTATTTTCTAAAAAAAAAATATGACAGTGTTTTATTGACTGTGTTTTATTGACTGTGTTTTATTGACTGTGTTTTATTGACTGTGTTTTATTGACTGTGTTTTATTGAAAATAAATGAATACTATTTTTAAATACGCATTTTATTTTATATTTTTAAAAATAATTTTCTATTTTAATGAAATCGGTGACAAAACCCTAGCAATACCATAACAACATCAACACAGATAGTCCAGGTGGATGTTGACTGGTCAACACTCAGATCGTGAACTCAGACTGAGAAATCCGGAGGTGAAGTCCCGGAGTCAGTCCGACACTAAACTCAAGAACTCTTTGAGATACCGGAAGAAGCCTGTGTTGATGATGGTGCAAACCCGTGCCGATTCCTTGGCGTTCCCGAAACTCTTCTAGCTGCTTGGAGGCTGGTAACATGCTGCTAGAGAAACTGTTTTATTCTCCATAAAAACTTAGCAGATTTTCATTGAGAGCTTTTCAGTGACGCAACACCATCTTCTCCTGTAGTCGTCGGGCATATGCCCAAGCCAACCCCCCGCCCTCAAAAAAAAATTATATAAAATTATAAATTATTTTCTCAATCCATGTCAACCTACAGAACTACCAGCAGTTTACATCGTTGTGTCCGCGAGGGACTACAATAAAACAAAATAGTTTGGCTACATTACACTTTATATATTAAAACAAATATTGTTCAAATGTCCTCTAAGTTCTTCACTTCTCAAACGGCAGTCGATTATAAGTTTCATCACTGTTGTGGAGTACAAGTCAAGGCCTCAGTCAAAAGTACGCCCCCCCCCCTAACAAAAAAGGACCCTGACGAACGAGCCCCGGGCATCAAGGCCCCTAACTGAACGGCTCCCGTCAATGGAGTGACTGACAAAAAGGTCTAGAAGACCGGTATCCTCTACGGCCTCGCACCACTGATGGGCGCGTAGACACATTGTATGCTGTGCACTTAAGCTGTTGGGTAAAAAAAATAAAAAAATCCAGACTTTAGTATTGGATTGGCGTTTTTCTTTCATGAAATGTGTGTGACGTCAGATAATTTTTCCTTTTCTTTGTTGTACATAACAAAAACAAGAAGAAAAAGAACAAGAATAAGAAGAAAAACAAGAAGAAGAAGAAGAAAACAAGAAGAAGAAGAAGAAAAACAACAAGAAAAAGAAGAAAAAGAAGAAGAAGAAGAAGAAAAACAAGAAGAAGAAGAAGAAAAACAAGAAGAAGAAGAAGAAAAACAAGAATAAGAAAAAAAACAAGAAGAAGAAGAAAAAAACAAGAACAAGAAGAAGAAAAAAAAAACAAGAAGAAGAAGAAAAAAAAGAAAAAGAAGAAAAACAAAAAAAAGAAAAAAAAAAAAAAAAAAAAAAAAAAAAAAAAAAAAAAAAAAAAAAAAAAAAAAAAAAAAAAAAAAAAAAAAAAAAAAAAAAAAAAAAAAAAAAAAAAAAAAAAAAAGAAAAAAAAAAAAACAAGAAGAAGAAGAAAAACAAGAAGAAGAAGAAAAACAAGAAGAAGAAGAAGAAAAACAAGAAGAAGAAGAAGAAAAACAACAAGAAGAAGAAGAAAAACAAGAAGAAGAAGAAGAAAAAAAACAAGAAGAAGAAGAAGAAGAAAAACAAGAAGAAGAAGAAGAAAAACAAGAAGAAGAAGAAGAAAAACAAGAAGAAGAAAAACAACAAGAAAAAGAAGAAAAACAAGAAGAAGAAGAAGAAAAACAAGAAGAAGAAGAAGAAAAACAAGAAGAAGAAGAAGAAAAACAAGAAGAAGAAAAAAAACAAGAAGAAGAAGAAAAAAACAAGAAGAAGAAGAAAAACAAGAAGAAGAAGAAAAACAAGAAGAAGAAGAAAAACAAGAAGAAGAAGAAGAAAAACAAGAAGAAGAAGAAGAAAAACAACAAGAAGAAGAAGAAAAACAACATGAAAAAGAAGAAAAACAAGAAGAAGAAGAAGAAAAACAAGAAGAAGAAGAAGAAAAACAACAAGAAGAAGAAGAAAAATAAGAAGAAGAAGAAGAAGAAAAACAAGAAGAAGAAGAAGAAGAAAAACAAGAAGAAGAAGAAGAAAAACAAGAAGAAGAAGAAAAAAACAAGAAGAAGAAAAAAAAACAAGAAGGAGAAGAAAAACAAGAAGAAGAAGAAAAACAAGAAGAAGAAGAAGAAAAACAAGAAGAAGAAGAAAAACAAGAAGAAGAAGAAAAACAAGAAGAAGAAGAAAAACAAGAAGAAGAAGAAAAACAAGAAGAAGAAGAAGAAAAACAAGAAGAAGAAGAAAAA